CCTTCTCTGTCAGGCCTTACCTGGCTCTCGATGAGCCTGGCCTTCCTTAGCAGGCCTTACCTGGCTCTCAATGAGCCTGGCCTTCTCGAGCTGGGCCTCTCGTAGCAGCCTCTCCATCTCCTCCATCCGCAGGGTGTCCATCACGCTGGCACTGCTCAGGCAGCACGGGGGTGTACACACATCATTGCAGTCACACAAATAAATCTCATTTACTCTGCTTTTAAGAAGTAACTTAAAAATGACAAGGGAGAGTGTCTTGTTTACCTGGAGAAAGTGTCTGGGGGAAAGGAGCTGTCACCAGTGGAGATGCTGGTGTCCAGGCTGTCGGAGCTCTCCAGGCTCACCGTGTCGTATGGCCTCTCTCCCATTGAGGGGCGCCGGTGGTGCAGGATAGAGTGATGTATCCCAGCAGGCCCAGGCAGCAGGGGAGGGGCGTCAAGCCGGGACTGTGACCCGCGCAGCGCCTCCCACTGGCACTGTGCTTCCAGCGCGGCACGCTCCCTCAGCTCAGCCAGCCGCCGCCGCTGCTCCTCGATCACCTGCTGCCCTGAAGGATCATGGGAGGACAGTAAAGGCATGTAAAGCAGCAGGGCATCCACCAAAGCCCTTACAGATATAAGAGCAAGGCAGAGACATGCACACAGATACACTAGGAAGGATCCTACATTTGAGTGGTTCTGCTTCACTGAATACAAGGCCCACTCTCAGAGAGACACATGCTGAAAATACACACAGCCTGTGCCACCCAGGATGCCGGGGCCATAATGCCCCCCCCCCAAACTGTTTGTCATGTTCAGACACGCAAAGCCCTGCAACATGTATGTGTGCCATGTCAGCGCACCACACAGGCCAAAAAAAACGACACCAGAAGAAATGACAGAAGGCACAGAGCCTCCTGGTGACACCGGTGTGACGACTTATCCGTCAGCACTCGCTTTGCCTTCAAAGCCGGATTCATGCTCACTTTTCAAAGCCGTTGGAGGAGAAATGGCAGGCAAAGGAGCCTGGCTGACAGGAGGGGGAATGCCAAGTGTGGGAGGGGTACAGGTGCTATCCATCGCAAAACCAAACCGCCCACCAGTTCCCGGCTCTACCAGTGAAGCTCTCCTGGACTGGGTGCCTTACGGTGGACACCGATGTGGAGGGACCAGAGCAACACAGACATAACTCAAGATGTTATAGATGGGAAGACACACTACTGGGAGAAACGGTGGCTAAAATGAAACTCCCAAAAGCTCCAGTTTGCATTCACTACATCCACAAGCTTTGAAGTTAAAACAGGAAACACATACACAGACAGACACAAAGTCACACACACATAAATAGACACAAAGTCACACGCACACAGACAGACAGAGACACGCACACAAAGTCACACACACATAAATAGACACAAAGTCACACACAGACAGACAGAGACACACACACACAAAGTCACACACAGACACACACACACAAAGTCACACACAGACACACAGACACAGACACACACAAAGTCACACACAGACAGACAGAGACACACACACACAAAGTCACACACAGCCACATACACACAGACACACACACACAGAGAGACACACACACACACACACAAGTACACAGACACACACGCAAACACAGACACACACACACAGATACATAAACACACCCGATAAACCCAACAGGCTCATTTCCAGGACATTTGTGCAACCTCCCAGACAGAACATATGCAGAGGAGTGGGGCTGTGCGGCTTTCAAGTCAGCAGTGGATAAACACCGTAAGGAGCTCAGTATTTGGGACGTTTTTGCTTCACAGGCTTGGCATTGGGAACCCTATGACTAAGCCACTAATGTTCTCAAGGTGCCCACTCATTTCCAGGCACCTGTGAGTGGAGTACCCTTTCCAGGACTGGTCTGCATGTACCCTGTTATGTTTCAAAACGATGTGGGGGCACACAGGCCCCCTTGTGGCAGAACTAGAAAAGGGCATCCTGGTTACCTTTCTGCTGTAAGGCCAGCTGCCTCTTGGCCTCGATACCTTGCAGGGTAACGGCCAGGTTTCGTGGAAGGCTGCCAGTGTTGCTAGAGGCCACCAGGGGGCTCTGTGGAGCCAAATTGGAAGAATTCATGAGTCAGCGGGTGTTTACCCATTTACTTTGTTCTCTACATTACAGCCAAGCAATAGCATACTGTCCAGATCATGCATCAGCAAGGATCAGGGCTACCTTAGTTGTACGGTTACGTCCCAGAGTGGCTGCGTTGTATTGCACTGAAGACCCTGTCTGCCCTTGATACACCTGGGGTGGAGGATATAGAGGTCAGAATTCAAACGTCAAAAGACCTCCTGGAATAATTTTCCTGTATTGGACGGCTGATTAAAATCTGCCATAAAAACAGATTCCATTGCATATTGGCTGGGTTTACTTGGGATAGACCCCCACACCAACACCCCCAGCGTGAGTAGAAATACACTGCCTGGCCAAAAAAAAAGTCGTCATTTGAATTTTTTGTGGGACCGCCTTTAGCTTTGATTATGGCGCACATTTCTCATGGCATTGTTTCCACAAGCTTATGCAACATTTCACCCTTTATTTTCATACAGATTTGCATTCATTTCTCACCAAGATTTTGTATTGACAAGTGAGTTGAACCACTCCGTAAAGCCTCCTTCAGCACATCCCAAAGACCTTCAATGAGGTTAAGGTCACAACTATTTGGTGAAATATCATGTGTGAAAATTGATTCCTCATGCTTCCTGAACCACTCTTTGACATTTCGAACCCAATGAATCTTGGCATTCTTGTCCTGGAATATGCCCATGTCAACAGGGAAGAAAAAATCCATTGATGATGGATGGAGGTGTAACCTGGCCATTCAGTAGATTGAGGTACTCAGCTGATTTTACTTTATTGCTGCATAACGTTGCTGGGCTGTAATAATGATCCAGTCATTGGCTCTTACATATTTGCTGATATAAATTCAAATGACGACTTTGTTTTTTTGGCCAGGCAGTATAACATGGTCTCAACCAAGCTTCCGTTAAATGTAACTTAAAAAAAAGGGGGGGGGGGGAGGTAGAATCATCGTTCCATTTTCCCCAACGTGGGTCCAATGGGGTGGCAGCTCTACCCCCAAGGTAATGTCAGACACCAAAACAACAGGCTACACGTCACTTAGCACTGAACACAAATGCAGAGGAGAAGAACCCAGAAGATAGAACAAACACTCATTAAATTCTCATGACCCACTGTAGATACGCATAGAACTCACAAGCAGGGAAAAATGGGAGAGCAGGTTAATGGTCCTGAGGTATTTACCTGCAGGGACCGGGCAGAGAAAAGAGATTTAGCTGGGAGAGGTGGGGGGCAAGGTGGGAGAGGTGGGGGGCAAGGTGGAACAGCCTCCCCAGCAGCCATGAGCACCTGGAACCACCACTCTAAATCTGGAGAGGGCATCTCAGACCTAACCCAGTCACACTGGGCCAGAAGAACCCCCCGGCCCAGGAGAGCAAGAGAGCAGAGGAGCAAAAGGAGAGAAAGAGAGAAAAGAAACAGAGAATGGAAATTAGAGAAAAGAAATGAAGAAATAAAGTCAGCTGTTTATCAGCAATAGCCAGCGGGATGATTGTGATCTTGATCTTTTCAAAGAATGTAAACATCCTTCCGGTGCAGAGACTGTTTCTAATACCCCCACCCCACCCCACCCAGCAACACAAGCCCTCTCAGAGTCTCCTGAGAAACCCTCCCCAAGACCCACAACCCAGTTCCTCTGAATCATACTCCGAACTCGCCAAATGAGACAGATCCTGCCACATGCGGAGCACTTCCTGGAGCTGGCTGCGCATCACCAGATCCTGCCATTTAACTATACCTTAAACTATTTTTCAAATAAAACTAACACATAAATCATGCTTCCATAAGGTGAATTCCACAACAGGCAGCACATTTGCACCAAAAAAAAGCCCATGGCCATTTTGACCCAGCATCCTTAAAACCTACATTTACCTTTATTTACATTAAAGCACAGTTACAAACACACACACTGAGGACAGCTCTTCTGAGCACCTCATATGGTAGGGAGGGAGAGAAGCCAGGTGAAGCTGTGCGACAGGAAGCAGAGTGCTGGAATGATGGGGCGAGTGGGCTGGTGGGGGCATCGACCTTCGGCATCCCAAAGATCTGCTTCAGCTGTCCGACTGTGATGTACTCCTTCTCAGCAGCAGAAGCAGAAAGAGAAGCACAGGAAAAGAGAGCAGGAACAATGTGAAAAAAAGGCAGACAGAAGGAAGAAAATTACCAAGGAAAAGAATATTAGAGCTTCAATGAAATGCAGTCATTTATACTATCAACCTGACTAGTAGAGTTACAGGAGAGGAAGAGGAAAGGAGCGTGCTGATGTACCTTAGAGGCAGGAGGAGGAAAGAGGCATGCTGAGGTACCTTAGAGGCAGGA